GAGCCTCAGCATATTCAGCAGTCGTCTTTGGATGGGCAGCTACTGGGAGCCAATCCGCCACCGCCGCTGCCTCCGCCGCCGCCGCCGCCGCCCGCCGCCGCCGCCGCACCGCCGCCGCCGCCGCTGTCCGCCGCCGCCGCGCCGCCCGCCGACGCCGACGCCGCCGCCGCCGCCGCCGCCCCCGCTGCCGAATCGGCGCCGCAGCAGCCGCTGCCGCCGCAGCCGCTGCCGCCACCGCTGCCGCCGCCGCCACCGCCGCCGCCACCGCCGCAGCCGCCGCAGCCGTTGCCCCCGCCGCAGCCGCCGCCGCCGCCAAGTGTACTCTGTATTGTTTTTGTTGACAGGGACGGTGGGGGGATGCCGCATCGGGTTGGCTTCGCATGCTCCGAATTTAGAGGCAGAGTGTGTGTTTGTATTGTTGTTGTTGCAAGGGATGGTGGGGGGGGCCCGCATTGTTCCTGGTTGGCCCCCAGTCACCTGGGGGAGTGGGTGTATATCATTATGGCACAGTGATATGCCCCTCCCCGAAGGGGAAGAAGGCTTTTTGCACGAGGAAAGAAAGACATCCTTAGACCACCTGCGCCCAGAGGGCTGGTGGGACATTGCATCACAGGCGATCGACAATGCCACTACGTAGATTGCACGCCGAATTTGCAAGAACCGGAGCGTTTATTTGTGTTCACGCGGTGGTATCACAATATGTTGGGGTGTGCCAAGCGAGAGCTCCATACATGTGGACACCCAGCATCAGTGCAGCTGTCAGAGTGCTGTTGGACCTGAGCCAGTCTCAGGCGAGAGCCTCAGATTGAAAACGTGTCGCCCCCGGCACAACGGCAGAGTTGAGGGCCATTTCACGATTCCGATCCTCCTCCATCCGTGTAATCGATTTGAACGACTGAACCGAGTGCACGCGGCGCTAATGCGAGAGCCGCATTTCGAATACGAAATGGTCTCGGCCCGTGTTGGTGTTGCAAAAGGTTTAAGCCACATGTGCGCGGTGCTCTTGGCGACCCCCATTCATCCTTGTAGTTGGTGGATGTTGCAAGCGTCCTGGTCGACACGTCTGGTGTATGGAGGGACGGTCGGAGGAAGGTTGGAAAAGGAGGGGGAGACGGAGGCGGAGCACGGGCAAAATCAGTACCCCACACGTTGTAAAACTCGCAGGCGCACTGGCACGATCGAGATCTCACCTACAACGCAGAGAATTGGCCAGCCACCGATGTCGCTGAGGAGATGGCCATGGTCCACGGCACGTGCATGAAGCTCGGCAGATCCGCGCTAGGCATCCCAAGCCACGAGCAGCAGGAAAACAGGACCACCTGTTGCGACATTTTGGGCCGAGCAGACATGTTCAAGTTGTAGGACCCGCTTCGCATCTGGAGGCTGAGATACCGCTTGAGACTCGTCCAAAGTGCCCCTGCACAACTGTTGTACCTGCTGGACATAATTTGACCACATGGTGAGAACTGGAGTATTCAAATACACGCTTACGCCGTATGGTTGGAGTGCACCCAGACTTCGCCAACAGATGTACCGGAATACAATTTTGGACATCATGGGCATGCGCACACCACCTGGAGATCACGCCGCACGTGGAGACTCGGGAAGACAATTGCGTAATCGAAGAAGGGGCATACGAATTACATGCTTTGGAGGAAGGCGTTGTTCGAAAGACCCCAGAGCGGTAGCTCCGCCCGAGCACGCCCGCCCCCTACCGCAGAAGTTAGATACGCATGCCCTGAGTGTCCCGCAACGGTGGTGACAAAACCAGCATGGGCGATACGCATGGCCAACTCACGCACAGAGCGGAACCACACCCGCAATTGCGTCCAAGCAGTCTTGTGCCGAGCTTGCGGAATGGACTACCATACAAGACCCCAGGTTTTGGTACACCTCACGGGACGCAGAATGATACGTAGTTTTCCGGTCAGACATTGCACAGGCCCGCGACCCCAGGACCAGGTAAATTATTTAGATGGACAAGACCGTACGAGTTGCCTTACGACGCGAGGGATACGAAGCAAAGGCACATGTACATGACACCAGAAACGAATCTGTCATACCGAGGGCAATGCCAGATGGAGAGTGGGAGGACGATCGAAGGATACTACAGGTGCTCCAACCCACAGAACACGACGAGAGAACCGCCCATAGCACAAATATTGGACGCTGCTACCCAGAGCTCAAGACCTACTACTTCATACATGTTTTTCTGGGCGCCGTAGGGACCAGAACCAGCAACACTACATCAAAAAAGACAACAACTGCCCTATCAAGATCATCAGCCTGGACCTAGTAACCGACCCCCACAGGGGGAACTTCCTACATCAGGAATCGATGTCATTCTGTCTTTACCTGATGCGCACTGGGCTTGTTGTAGGCATACATGCTGGACCACCTTGCGAGGCCTGGAGCGAAGCCGGATGGGACCATCGACAAGACCGACAGGATGGAGGACCAAGGCCATTACGGCACACGCAGAAACCCTGGGGAGACAAATGGCTCAACGCCCGTGAGCGCTCGCATATACGAGCAGGCAGTGGCCTATTACGAGTCACCCTCGAGTTCTTTGTCGAGGCGCTAGTGCTTAGTTTATCAGTGGACACCCGTCAACGCCTCGGCGGAGACTCCGCCCGAAGAGCAGGGGCAGGATGATGGGGATGAGGGGGAACATTGGAGGATGAAGGAGAGGGAGGTGGAGGAGGAGGAATATGAGGAGGAGGAGGAGGAGGAGGAGGATGAAGAGGGAATAACAAAGCACTACAGGCGAGGAGCGATGACTGCGTGAGGGAGAGGGAGTAAGTATGCAGGAGCAGGAGGAGGAAGGACGCTGGATGGAGGATCGAAGAGCGAGGATATTTTGGAAGATGGCGGATGTGAAGAGATGAGGGAACGATGTGGGGAGGCGTGAGGAGACCAGAAGATGAGGGACAGCGGGAGATGGGGAGGTGGGGGCGGCGGAGGAGGAAACGCTCTCTTCGTGCCCCCCTTACTTTTGTTCGCAGGCGCTATCCTCCTCCTCTTCTTCCTCCTCCTCCTGCTCCTCGCCTTCCTCGTCCCTTCTCCTCTTGGAGCCAAGACCAACCAATCGCCCGGGGGCGCAGTGGGCGCCCTGCAGCACGGGCCTCGGCACGACACGGCGCCCCTCCCCACGGGGCCTCGCGGGGCGGCGCTGCAGCCGCCCCGCGCGAGCGCGCAGCCGTTGTGGATCTCCTCGTCCTCCTGCCTCCTGCTCCTGCGAGCAGCTGCAGCAGGAGAGGAGGAGGAGCAGGACAGGGGACAGAAGAAACAAAAGAGGAAGGAGGAGGAACAGCAGGAGTAGGAGGAGGCGGAGGAGGAGGACGAAGAGAAGTGAACATATGGAACAGCGAGGAGGGGAGGGGCCGAGGAGGGAGAGCAGGAGCAGGAGCTGGAGCGCGGAGAGGAGCAGCGCTGCGCTGCTCCTCCCCTCCGGGGGAGGAGAAGATGGCGCACCCGCGCCCTCTGGCCCTCTGGCCCTCTGCGCCCCTTCTCTTCGGCCTCCTGCTGGAAGGCCCTCCCTCGTCGCCCTCCGCCGGACTCGCCTTGCCGTGACACCCTGGGCAGAGCGCGCCCTCGGGAGAGGTGCGGGGAGCAGCGGTATCGGTGCCTCCTGGTTTCCCCCTCCTCCTCCCATGTATCTTGACCTGCTGCTGTGTTTCCCATTCTTCTTCGTCCTCTTCCTCCTTCCCCTCCTCTTTCTTCTTCTCCTCCTCCTCCTCCTCCTCCTTCTCCTCCTCCTCCTCCTTCTTACCCCTCCTGCTGCCTTCAGGGGCAACTTTCGGGGGGGAGGGCAGGCGCAAAGGGGGAAGCATCGAGCCCCAATCGGCCACTCGTCGTCGATGGTGGGCGCCCGATGCCCCGTCGCGCCCAGGAGCGTGGGCTTCTTGCAGTCGGGGCCCCATCGCCGATCGCCGATCTGCAGTCGACCCGCAGAGGAAAGATAGGCATCCCTCCCAGGGGTACCCTTGCATCCTTGCCTCCTCGGTCCATCCTTGGCCACTTTCGCTGGCCGCGCCCCGCTCGAAATGCTTCGAAATTGGGCGCCCAGGCCCCTTGCGTCCTCACCCTTGCTCTGCGGGTTGACTGTATGGACGGTGGATCGTCGATTCGGGGTCGATTTCTCCCCCTCCCCGAGCGGGTCCCCCCCCCGTAGTGTTTCTCCTCGGTAGGATTAAGTCGGGCCTGTCCCTCTACAGGGGGAAAATTCAAAAATAGTGAACAAAATAGTCTGGGGACGATTTGTTGAATATTTTTGACCTTTTTGGGGTATTTTTTGATTTTTCTTGTTTTTCGCCGAAAATCCCCCTGGAGGGGGGACACGCCCGACCTCGCGGCAGGAGTCGCTTCTCCTCCGCGGCGCCACTGCCACCGAGGGGCGGAGTGCCGCGCGGCCGGCACGCTGTAGAGTCCCAGGATCTGCCTCGACGGTTCGTAGGTATGGCAGGGCTGGGCCTCAACTCGGGGGGGTGGACAGACCTCCTACCCCCGACACGTCGATTAGGGAATTGTCCGTCTTCGGTTCTCGAGAGGGCGCCGCGGCCGTCATTCTCCAGGCTGGCGCCCGCCAGGCTTGGGCCCGAGGTCGTTTTCATTAAGCCACGTTGTACTAAAGGGAGGTCGGTCCATCCCCGATAAACGGGCTTGTGGTGCTTTCGTGGGCCGTTTTCGTTTCGACCTTGTTTTGCGGTAGAGGCGGATTCGAGGCACAAGCGAGGGACAACGAAGGCAAAACGAGAACGGAAAGCACCGTTCAGGTTCAGCCGCGATGTACAGATCCAGGGTCGTAGTGCATGCAGCAGTGATCGGCTGACCTCTGCTGACCAGGCCACCTCGCTACATCGTATTGCTAGGGAGGACGGTCTGGGAACTCTGGCGCCCTGCACATGCTGGCATGTTTTCCCTGCCACACCATGCTTGACCTCGAGATGCAGCCGCAGAAATGCGAAGCAAGTCCTGCTTCCTCCTCGCGCCCCCCGCAGGAGAATCACTGCCTCCAGCTCGAGATGGAGGCCCTGCGCGACAGCGCCTCGCTCGTGGAGCGGGCAGGCGCGGTCGGGGCGGGCACGCTGGAGGTGGGCGGATCGTTCGCACCGCCCACGTTGGCTCGGTTCTCGGTAGTGCTTCCGAGTATTGCGATACAGTCGGCACGCCAGATAAGAAGCCGGACTGCCAGCATGTGCCCCACATCAGGTTTTCTCTTCAAGAGGCCTACGCCCCCCCGTCGACCCCCAGAGGAAGTGTGGAGTCCAGGGGAAGTGCTAGGGCGAGTCACGGTCTTCAATGTTATGACCACACATGAATCCATGTGGGGCTAGTCTATGCTCGGCAAGGGGACATACAATCATCGCTCGCGACTCTGCAGTCCCAGAACGCGGACTTTGGTGGATTCAGACAACGATACAAACGCTCCGCTCTTCCATGGAAAATCCTCCTCCGCAGAGGGGCGGGTAGGAGGGCGAAAAGGGGGAGGAGGAGGTGGTGGAGGAGGAGGAGGAGGAGAAACAAGAGAGAGAGAGAGAGGGAGGGAGTCAGAAAGAGACAGGGAAAGAGGCAGAAAGAGAGAGTGAGAGAGAAAACAAAGAGAGAGAGAGAGAGAGAGGGAGAGAGAGAAAAAAAAACAATCACAGTGAACGCATACGAGCGAATCTTTGGAATACTCCTTGGAGGCACCCGGAGGGCTTTTGGGGTCTCCCCGAGGGTTCTTGGGGGCCTCTTCGGGGCTTCTTGGGGACCTCTTGGAGGCTCTTCGGGCCTCTTGGGGGCGCCTTGGAGGTCTCTGGGGGGCTGTTGGGGCCATCTAGGTGGAAAAGGCTCGAACTGTCAGTTCGTATTCCCCCTCTTGGGGTCCTCTTGGGCCTCTCTTGGGCCGTCTTGGGGGCCCCTGGGGCCGTTTCGAGGCGCTCTTGGGAATCTCAGGGGCCGTTTTGGAACGATCTTGGGGGCCCTTGGCCCGTCCTGGACGCTGTCAAGACGAAAAAGGCGAGCATACTACAATATACGTTTCCTTTCGAGAATGAAGCGGTTTTGCTTCTTGGGGCCTTCTCGGCGGTCTTCGGGAGCACTCTTGGGCCGTCTTGGGGCTACCTGTCGAGGCTCTGGAGGGCGGGTGCGTTGACGAGCTCGTCCCCCCCAACCCCATGCCCCCCCCTCCCCGGCCACCCCCCTCTAATCGGATTTAAAACTCCCGGAGGAGGAGGAGAAGGAGGAGGAGGAGGAGGAAAAGGATGATGATGATGATGATGATGATGATGATGATGATGATGATGATGATGATGATGATGATGATGATGATGATGATGATTGATGATGATGATGATGATGATGATGATGATGATGATGATGATGATGATGATGATGATGATGAGGAGGATGAGGATTAGGATGAGGATGAGGATGAGGATGAGGATGAGATGAGGATGAGGATGAGGA